TCTATCTATCTGTGCCTGCTGACGTCAGCATCATATCAAAAGCGGCCGGCGACATCAGCCGGCCGACCCGGGTGCCGGCCGCGGGCGGCAGCTGCGCGAGCAGGGGCGCGGAGCCACATGCGGGCGCCGCGAGGAGGTCGCCACAGAATGCAGCCCATGGCTCGTGCGGCGCGGGGCAGGCCGCCAGCTCCTGGCATTGCACCGCGAATGCGCCGGCCTGGCCGTATGCCGTGCCGCCGCCCAGCAAGGAGCTGAAATAGTGGTTATTGGGCGCAAAGTGCGCCCACTGCTCCCGCAGACCCTGCTGCTGCTGCAGCAGCCGGCACTGCCACTGCGCCTGCAGCCGCTGCTGCTCCTCCTGAACACGCAGCCCGAGGGCCAGCGCCTCGGCCCTCTGGCGCTCCTGCATCACCCGCAGCTCCAGCGCCTGGCGGTGGTACAGCAGCTCTTGCTGCCGCGCTCGGTGCTGCTCCGCGTGCGCAGAGTGCATCGGATGCCGCTCATGTTGCTGCTGCTGCTGCTGCTGCTGCTGCTGCTGCTGCTGCTGCTGCTGGGCAGCAGCAGATTCGGGGCCAAATTCCGCGCTCGCCCATGGGATGCAGGCGGTGTCACAAGACTGCGCAGACCACGCCCGCTCGGGCGCGGTCCTTGTGCCGCAGCACTTTGACGTGCGGCCCGAGCCTCGCACTTTGGGCTGTGGCGAAGGGACGGGGCTGTGGGCGCAGCTCGGGCCGCGGCCAACGGCGCTGCGCTGGCCGAGGCTGGCGGCGCCCACCTTCCATGGGCTGCCAGGCGGCCTGCTGCGGCCATCCACGGGCGCGGTGACGACGGCGGCAGCGGCGGGCCGCCAGCTGAACCCGGCGGCGCTGGCATCACTGGAGGAGGCAGGGCCGGCCACGGTGCGTGGCGGCGCGGCTGCATCGCGCGTGGCCACGTCATGCGCGGCACTGCCGGCGCTGATGTGGCTGTGAAAGGCGAGTGTGGGCTGGTGGCATTGCTCGTCTAGCTCCCTGGTTGGCGACGCCGGTCGCAGCTGCTCCTCTGACTGTTGCTTTGACTGCTGCTGCTCGCGCTGCTGTTCGGTTGGCAGCTGCTGGGCAGGCGTGCGGTCCCCGCTCGCTCCGCTTGCAGCAGCAGCAGCCAATGCGGCTTGCGCGGCGGCCACCGCCGCTTGGGAGGCCTTGCCGCCCTTGGCTTTGCGCTTCTTGATGCCGCGGGCCAGCCGCCTCTTCTGTGGGGCAGGATTGGTTTGAGATGAGAGCGCGATTGGTTTGTATCCCTTGTGAGGTTTGGGCCAGGGTTCACAAACAGGGGCGAGGCGAGGGCGCAGCGGGCGGCACGGGGAAGGGGGGGGGTTTGCGCGCACACACCTTGCGCTTTCCGGGGCGCGCCGCGCCGGCTGCCGGCGCCGCGACCGGCTCTGCCGGCCCCGGGTTTCGGGGCTCCGGGGCCGGTGCGTCCTTGTGGGAGAGCAGCCAGTCGAGGGTGCAGCCGGCGTCTAGGTAGGCGTTGTTGAGGGGCTCGCCGCTGGACAGCTTGCGCTTGAGCGTTGCATTCCTGGGGAGGGGGCGTGGGGCAGGGCGGGAGTGCGCTCACAGGGGGAGCAGGGGGACCAGGGGGAACAGCAGGTGGGGATTGAAAGGAGGGCGCGTGTGATCTGCCTAGGGTTCAGGTGTGTCTGCGCAGCCGTGGCAGCGCAGCTGGGCCACTGAGAAGTGCGGCGCATCACGCGGGCCTTTTCTCGGGCCTTGCCACGGGCTGGAGATGGAGGCCGCATGGCAGCTGCAGCGGGAGTCTTGGGGTGCCCTTCCTCTCAGAGGCTGACGATGCCCGTGCCTCGCCTTTGCCCCTTGTCACTGCCCTCGCCTTGCACAAGCCAGCCCTCACCAATGGTTCTTGATGGCGTTGTCGGTGCGCCCGGGCAGCAGCTTTGCGATTGCTGGGGGTTAAGAAGCGTATGGTGGGTCTTTGGGCGTTGAGGGTGGGGAAGGGGGCCGGGAAGGGGGAGCGGGAAGGGGAAGGAGATCCGGAGGCCTAGGGGCGGCCACGCAATCAGTCCCCTTCACCAAGAAACCTGCAGCCCACGTTATCAATGAGCCCCGTGCCGCGGCCCTGCCTGCCGCGAGGTTGCAGCGCGCGCTTCGCGGGGCCCTGGCCGTGCCTGGGGACGTGCTCACCGGCCCACTTGTTGGTGAACACATCCTGGCCCTGCGAAAGCCACACATCCATTGGGGGTGACAGGGGAGGGGGGTTTCAGCGGACAGGGGCGCCACGGCTTGCCAGCCGCGTGCTCAACGACGCAAGGAAGCAGCCCTTTGGGATACTGAGGGTGACAGGCAGAGCAGGACGCGGCCCTGCGCCGCGTGCGCCGGGTGCAGGCGGTGGGAGAGGCACCTTCCCGGCGGGGAGGGCCCCGAGTGCATGTGGCCGTGGCGGCCACGCAGGCGCCCCACCTTGACGATCACAGCCTGCTCCCAGATCGAAAAGGGCTCCTTTCTCACGTCAGGGTGGAGCTGGTTGCAATACCTGAGGGAGAGCAGAGGGTTGGGGTGTGGGGCCGCGGATTCCTGCGTTCAGGCTTGGCACCCTGCCCGCGCGGGTCGCCCCGCGCAGAGGTGACGCAATGAGGGCCTGGCTGGGGGTTGGCCACCATGGTGCTGGTTCCAAGCGGCAGCATCAGAATGATGCTGAAATGGTCAGCGTTCTCAGCAGCAGAGTGAATGGGGATGTCGGCGGCGCCCAGCTGGTGGGCGCTGCCGGCACCCGTCAGCTTCGCTAGTGAGCGACACGGACACATGCCGCCATGTATCGACAAGTGCCCGTGGGGTCCTTAGCCTGCCATGGTGCGTATAACTCGTGAAGAAATTCATAAAACTTGCCTGAGTCGGCAGCTCTGCGGTAAAGGGCGGTCGGGTGTGTAGCGAGGAGTAAGGGTCGGGGTGTGGATCCGTGGCCAGGATGCAGTTGGAGTCTGAAAAGGTCGGTAATAGATAGGGCTTACCTTTGCGCTCCTTCCCGGAACAACTGCGCTTACAGCCGTCCAAGACTTGGTGCCCAAGCGCGAGGCCGCTTCAAGCAGCACGGCGTCCTCCTCCGCCAGCCATGACCCGCGTTTCTGAGGTACGTCTTCCATGTACAAGCGATATCCCTCCGGAATGGTCGAGCCACGGGGGTCGCAGCGTGGTGACCAGCAACTGAGCAACGAGCGAACGCTTTTAGAGCGCGTTACTTCGTGCAGCTTTGCACATTTACACAATTCAAGCATACACCATTGTGAAAAAGAGGCTTGGTGCTGGGCAAGGGCCTGGGCATTTCGTGACCAACATGTGGCACTGGGAATATCGATCTTCACAGCAACCCGCCTACAGGGTCAAAATAAGATGTTAGCGGTGGAGACTTCCTAATTCAAGGTGCATGCATCCCCAGGAAGGCCCTGTGGGTCACCAATGCAGCGAAGACGCGGGCAGGTCTGCTGCCCAGCTGCTGGCGTCAGCTGGATGCCCATTGACGACACCCCTGTTGGTCGAATGATCAAAGCTGGCAGCACACAGCGACGCACCCTCAGTAATGCAACGTTCACAGACACAAATGACGTCGGCGGAGGTTACAGTGCTGTGCATGGGCCTGTGTGCGGCATCGAAGCGAGTGCACACCAGCACTGGGGTGACCTGCGAGGGCACAGCGCGAAATCTCGCTGCCAGCCCCGCAACAAACCGCGAATGAAAACGCGAAAGAGGCCCACAAGGATGTGCGCGGCAGCAAACTCCGCCCCAACGGCGTGCAAATCCTTCATGGGCAGCCAATGTGGAGAATAGGTGGCACACAAGTGTTTTGAAAATCAGGTGGATCGCTAAGAAACAAGGTTGATGGCGGCGGCTGCGGAGCCCTGACACGGCACCCCGCAAAACAGCGCGTCCTCCCTCGTTGAATATAAGACCCTCCCCTCCCCTCGCTCTCAAAGCGGTAACGGGCGCGGCTGGCAGCTGGAATGGCAACAAGCCGCGCGGGGGGCGTGCGCGCCCGTGAGCCCCAGACGATGCGCAGCGGCGCCAGGACCTGGCTTGGGAGCCGGGGCCGCAGGGCTGCCGCGCTCGTCAGGCTCGGCTGGGCTGCGCCGCGCCCGCGCGTCCCTGAGGCATCCAGCGCATTGCGCGCCGTCTGGCAGGGGTTGGGTTCTCTAGAGGCAGGGAGGGAGGCGCAGATGGTATCGCGCTCCACGCCGCAGGGGCGTGAGCGTGGGCGTGCGAGGGGGCGTTGCCACGAGGCGGTCTCGGCGCAGCCGCGGGGCGAGGGGCCGGCCGCCGCAGGGAATGAGCCGCGGCCGTCCCCTTGTTAGTGATACACGGTACAGCGCGGGTCAGAACCCCACAAGCACGTTATAAATACCTGATCGAAGTGTCTGAAAAGCAATAAAAGCTCTGCAGGGTCGCGGAGCCGGCGCACATGCTGGCGCAACAAACTTTCGCAGCCCCGGCACGCAAGCGGTGAGGACCGGCGCGTGCCGTCCAGCAGGGCGGCACAAATGCTTCAGGAAACAGCACGGATGGGGGGGGCTTGCCTTAAAGGCAGACCACACGGCGGCTGACGGCTCCACACATGGCTGCGCCGCCGCGGCCGCCCCCGGCTGGGTGGCCAGGGGCGGCGCCTGCAGACGGCTGCGCGTGCGCCGAAAGGATGTGTGCGGGCGCCCTGCTCGCCGCAGCAAGCTCTGTCCTTGTCTGTGCTTAGGTCTGTTCTTGCGTGCCGTGCAGCCTGGCCGTCACTAGTGCGGGGCGGGCATTAAGCGTAGGCCTCAGGCCGCAGCACAGCGACGTATGGCAGGCAGCGGTACGTCTCGTCAAAATCCAGGCCGTAGCCCTGGGGAGAAGGCGGGGCGTGGGGAGGGGGGACTCTTGCGGCTGCCAGGACCGGCAGAGGAGCAGCCGCAACCCATGGGTCTGGAGCCCGGCCGTCGCACGGCCGACCAAAGCGCTTGCTCAGCCAGGCCGCGAGGCTGCATGAGGCACCCCCCTTGCCTCCTCTGCAACCTGCTAGCTGCCAGCCGACAGCCCCCTCCTAGGTCCCAGACCACCTCCTCGCCCCTGCCGGCCGCCACATCCCTGCCGAGGGCCCCCCACCCACCACAATGAACTTGTCGGGGATGTCAAAGCCAACATAGTCCGCCTCAAACTCCACCTGGCGGCGGCCCTGCGTTTGCAGGCGAGGGGCACCAGAGCGCCGCCCGCTCAGCCCGCCGGTACAGACTACCTGCCGGACAACAGGCGCGGCCGCCGCCGCCGCCCGCGGCTGCTGAGTGCGCAGGCGCCCCTGGCGTGAAATAGTTCTGGTCGGGCCCCGAGCGGAGCCCCGGGTTCTGCGCGGCCGGGGACGGCGCACCTTCTTGTCCAGCAGGGCGACGACCTTGACACTGTCGGCCCCGCAGGACGCCACCGCCCCCGCCAGCCTGCAGAGCGTGTTGCCGCTGTCAATAATATCCTCCACCAGCAGTACGTGGCGCCCCGCCCAACGGCTGTCGCTGCTGCTGCCGCACATGTCCACGCCAACCGCACCGTTGCTCACGCTGCTGCTGCCTGCGCGCGCGGGGTCGAGGGGCGCGCAATGCAGCCGTGCGTGAAGCCACGAACAGCTGCACTCAATCGCGTGCAGCTCAGCTCAGAGCCGCAGGGAGATGAAGACGGCTGCGCCTTGACAGAACATGGCCACAAGGCCGGGCAGGGGGCACTGGAATCGAGGGTGACTCACCGTATGACGAGGCGCGTATGAAGTCGATGCGCACGCTGGGCATGCCCTCCTCAGCGATGGCGCGCGTCAGGTCAGACATGAAGATGAAGGCGCCCTTGAGGACCTGCAGTGACAAGCGCATAGTGTTGATTCATGCAGTGGGCCGTGGGGTCGTTGCTCGCTGTTGCGGAGGGCCGCGCGTTGGGGCGCGTCGGATCAGGCACGACAACAGCGGCAAGGTTGCCCTTGGGGATTGCATTGCCGACGCTGGGTGGCCGCGGATGCCAGCTGACATGGGTGCCGGCTGGATCGCGCCGTAATTCCTGCTCACCCCCACAACAATGAGGTCCTTGCCCTGGTAGTCACGGCAGATGTCCCTGGGGGGGGGGGTTATTGCGGGGAACAGGATGGGGGCCAGAGGGGCGGAAGTCGGCTGGAAGGGCCGCAAAGCTGATCCCCTGTGCGCAATCCTCTCGTTCGCATGCGCGGTTGATAGCGGTTCATGGCTACTGGTCAGGGGCACCGACGAGTGTTCGCAAGGCGGGCTTTTTGCATGGGCGCGGTGGGGGGTGCACAGTGGGGCTCCCGCCGGCCCCGATGGCGGCGCCGCTCGCACCTGGCCAGTGTGCGCACACGGTCTGCGACCTGCCCCTGTGTGAAGAGTACCTCCTCAATATCATCTGGGATGTCCTGCTTCAACTGTTTGCGCGGTGCTACTGTTTGGAGAGGCCGATACGGGGCTGCGACGGCCCGGGCGGGAGTGCTGGCCCGAGGGCGGCCACCGCGAACATATGTGCGAACACAGCGAATATGGCGAAGCATCATGCTGGACGCTGAGAAGACCGGTGCGCGCGGACAACAACAGGGCCACGGGCTGCCGAAGTGAAGGGTGTCTACGTGTCTGGACCCCAGATATCAAATATGAATTGGATGTGCGATTCCCAATTACAAAGGGGGCTACATCAAAGCTGTGGAGCTGGTGTAGATCAGTCCGCGCTTCCACATGCAGTCAAGACTACCGTACCGTATGCCGGAGGTCGCAGTGTGTAATGCGAAGACGTCGATTCAAATAGTCACTGGCATGATCGTCTGATACAGCACCGCCACCTTCGATCTGTGCCGGTGCAGTCCACGAGTGGCAATGGGCACCCCTGCGGCGCTGTTGCGGCTTTCAAGGCACTCGATTAGCTCAATGATGGCTTTGGCCGCCAGTGGGGGTGGCCCCATCAGCGCTGCATCCCCGCTGCTGTCGGGTGCGGCAGTTGTTCATTCTGGTGGCGCGCCGACTGCAAGCTTGCGGCGCTTCTCCTCGTCGCCGCCGCCCGCGCCGCGAGGCAGACCAGCAGACGGCCTTCAAGAGGTCCCAACGCCGCTCCCGCCGGCAAACCAGGGGCCTTGGAAGCGCGTGAAGGACCCGTCCTCAGGCGGCACGTGCGTCCAGCAGTGTGCTTGAGCTTGCATGGGGTGGGGTGCCGCAGGCCTCGCATGGTGTACTATGTTACTGGGCATGTGCGTGGATCGAAAGTCGCTGCACCGCAAGAAACACCGTCTTCTCGCACAGCGCTTGGCCCCGTCCCACTGGGCCTGCAGCACCCGCCCCCCCCCCCCCCGCAAGCCCCGGCAGCCTGCCGCCTCCCACCTGTTCCGATGCGGCAGGTACTGGTGGAATGAGTCGACAAACGCTGTCACGCCTGTTGGGGCCCCGAAGCCGGACGCGTGGGTCGAAGTGCGGGCGCCCGGTGGCGGCGCCTACTTCTGGAACAAGCAGTCTGGTGTGCGCGGTGGCTTTTATGGCTTGTGCATGGTCAGCTGCAGCGGGGCCTGCAGTGCAAGGCGGCGCGGGCGTGCCGGTCAGCGCTTTCGTACATGCGAGAGTGTCACGGTGGGCCTCTTTGTGCAATGATCACTGGCATGTTCGGCGCGCGAGCTGCAGCTGTTGCAGCAATTCGCACTGCGCCCCCGCGGCCCCCGGCCCCCGCCCGTGCCGCAGGGACGACAACAGCGATCGGCGAGCCGCTCCCGGGCCCGGAGGGCCGCGTGCCGGCGACGCAGCAGTTTCAGCAGCAGATGCCGACGGGCCGGTCTGCCGTCTTCAACTTGGTGACGTACCCCTTGATGCTTGGCCTGGGGTTCGGCGCAATCTTTGGGGTGGTGCGGCTCCTGTTTTGAACGGCCGGCCGGCCTGCGTCGGGTGACAAGCGTGGCTGCTGCGAGTGCATGAAGCTTCTGGCCAAAATCAACTGCCTGGTGAGGTGGGCGAAATCGCCCTTGTACGCAGGGCCGAGCATCATGCTGATTTGTGAAACCCCCGTACAAGTTGTCATCCTTGTTATTGTTGTGTTGTCTCTACCGGTTTGCAGTGTGAGTCTTCTCATTGTACTTGAAGCGCGGTCACTGTGCAGCCTACGTCTCTTTTCTGAAGGTACTCCTCTGTCATCCTGAATGTTGGCCCGCTTGTTGGGATTCAGCGGGGCGGTCGTGGTGTTGGCCATGCAAATTGCAAAGCGAGCTGATGTTGACACCATTGTCGTTTCGGCAAAGCTCACAGCCGTCAAGCGCTTGCCTGGGGTCGGTGGCGCTGGCGCTGTTGTTGGCTGGTTGCGCCCTTGTGCCTGTGCTGCGGCTGCACACATTGCTCTGATGGTGTAGATGAAATGTTTGTAACCCTGCACATACCGTTCGTCTTGTTGAGTGGCATCGCCATGTTGATGAGTTGGTCCGCCTGCAAGTGGTAAAAGATTATGTCAAGCCGCGAGGGACGACAAGAGATGCCGGCACTGCCGGCAGGGCGGCCATGGCGGCCAAGGGCTGCACGAGCAGGGTGGATGCGAGCAGAGCTGCATGCAACAAACAAAGTGAGATGCTATTGACAGGCTCTCATCTGCATAGCTGCATGCCTCAGTACAGTAAGTGCATGGTGAGTTTCAAGTGCCAGTCGATAAGTTTGCGCAAGATCGCTTTTCCAGCGGCAAGCATACTCCCAGTTATGTTGGTGTTGTTTCATCACCATTTTCGTATACCTGACGGCGCGTTCTGCTCTCTCAGTACCGTACGTCCCACCCGCGGCCCCCCGTGTGCAGCATCAGCCTGGCCCAAGCAGCAGGTGCAGCAACTTGTGAGGGTTTGACGCCGTAGCACGGTCCTGAGGTGCAAAGGTTGCAGGGTGGGGCCAACAACACGAGCGGCACGACCCCACCGCGGCCTGGCGCTTCCGCTGCACCAGCCCGTTGCATGCTCAAGAGGGTGCATGGGGATGCTGTACAATGTTCCTGGCGCTGCTGCTCTGATATCGTGCGTATGCGCTGCCTCCGCAGGGCATACAGCTGAGCTTGGAGTGGTGCAGTGGCTATAGCGCCGCACAGCTGACTGCCGAGCAGCGCGAGCGCGACCATCCTCTGAGAAGCCGCTACAGGACCAGCCGCAGCGGCGTAGCCGACCGCAGCAGCAGCAGCAGCAGCAGCAGCAACAGCAGCAGCAGCAGCAGCAGCAGGCGCCATGACGACGGCGCACAGGCCCACGTGGGCCCCCGCGCGCGGCGGTGAAGAGCAGGGCGGCCTGCGCATATTTGTTGCATCCAGGGCGCGCTCGGCGAAGGACCAGCCAGCGCAGCTCACCATGAAGTTCAGGTAAGACGCTTATCACAGAATTCAAGGCGGATACGTGCTCAGCTCGGCTCTGCTTTTTCTGAAGGCCCTGTCTTCGTGGCATGGCTGCGTCGTGTGGGCGCGGCGGCATGGCGACCCCTCGCGGCAGCGTCGCGGCGACTCGCGCGAGCACGATGCACCGCGCCGGCTGACGCTTTGCCCGCCTGCGCCACGCAGGGGCCAGGGTCAGGCGGGCGCAGCTGATCTGGAGGGGAAGGACCTGAAGGTGATCTTCACAGGCAGCCTTGCACCTGGTTGATGCTCAAGTCTAGTTGCCGTCGCCCTTGCTGGCATCAGTCGGCCCCCAAACCCAGCGCTTGGACTCAGCACCTGTTGCCTGGGGCTCTGCAAGCTCCTTGCGGGCCTCCGCTGCCCAAGGGGTTTGAGGGAGCATCAAGTGCAGCAGCAGTTTGGAGCACGCTTGCAGGCGTGCAAGGGGTTAGTGCGTATTTCGTTGTGGGTTTGTTGTTGCCTCCCCGCCCTGCTGCCCACACTACTCATTCGCCCTCGTCACCAGCCGCTCGCTGTTGTGCACCCGTCAACCTCGCCAGGCCGAGCTTGAGGCTAAGGAGCGGGAGCACATCCGCAAGACCAAGGGCGTCAATTTTGAGGGTGGGAGGGGCGCCACGCTGCCATGGGACTTGAGTGGCAGCTGACTGCGGAGGAAGGGCGGGAGAGGATGCCCGGAGCTCCTCGGCCGGTGGGGCGGGCGCGCGGCAGGAGGCAAGAAGCAGGGGCGTGTTGGCTTGCCAGCTGTCACCGCCTTTGCACCTGCCGCATGCGCGGGCGCTTGCGCACCACATGCACGCAGACATGTGCACACACGCACACACATACACTCAACACATGCACGCGCACGCACACCAGCTTAAAACCTCGTTCTTGTTTCTCTCCTCCACTTTCAGAGGTGCGCAAGCAGGACCTGGAGCTGCTTGAGGCGGCCAGCGGCCCCGACGACGCCGGCGGCGGCGGCGGGGCTCGCACCCTCGTCCCGCGCGCGCAGGACGCGGACGATGCAGATGCGGACGACGGCGACGACAGCAGCAGCAGCGATGACGACGACGACGACGAGGTGCGGCACACTTTCCTTCTTGCCACCTGCACTTGAACGTGCTAACACCCCATTTTGCGACCCGATGCAAACACCGCCCCACTCAAGGGTACACAACACCCCGCCGCCTGGTCTCCCCCCTCATAACCTGCCCGCCATCCCTGACTTTCACCGTCCCACCTCTTGACATCCACCACGCCGCCCCTGCACCCTCATTCCCGCCTCTGACATTCACCACCCTGCCTGTTCATCCCGACCCCCCGCACCAGGATGACGAGGCCGAGCTGATGGCAGAGCTGGAGCGCATCCGCGCAGAGCGCGCCGCAGAGGTGTGCGCCGCGCGCAAGGGGCGCGCACAGACCGCAGCGTCCAGCGAGCCGCTGCATCTGCCGACCGCCAGGAGCGCGGAGACCCTGTGAACGCGCAGGCGTTCCATGGGAGGGTGGGGCGGAACCCGTTTCGTCGCGATCTTAACATACCCTCTAACGCCCCCAACTCGCAGGCCGAGCGGCGCGCGGCGGAGGAGGAGGCGCGGCGCGAGAAGGAGAAGGAGGAGGCGCTTCGCACCGGCAACCCGCTGCTGGCGATGGCGGGCGGCGCGGGCGGCGCCGGCGGGAGCGTGGACTTTGGGGTCAAGCGCAGGTGCGCGCGGGCAAGCCCGCAGTGGGGTGCAGGGTGGGGTTTGTTACTGGCACGGTGTTTTGCAGTGTGGAGGATGCGTCGCGTGTTGTCTTGACCACCCTTGGCGCAGACCGCTGTTCAAGCAACGCACTTGCCTGGAGGAATTGGCTTGGTGACCCAGCGTCCCGCTCCTTGGCGGCCCAGGTGGGACGAGGATGTCGTTTTCAAGAACACGACGCGCGGCGAGGTCAAGGTGGGCGCGTGAGGGTCGAGAGTTTGGAAGGCACCTGTACAACACTGGATGGGGGTAGGCGGGACGGCGCGGAAGGCGACCCACCCCCAGCCTGGGGCGCCGCGACCGCAGGTGCCCGTTCGGGTTACAGGGGCTCCCACGTTCGCATCTACCGCAACACCTTCCTCCCGCCTCCAACATCCCTAAAATCATGCTGAACGCACCGTGTCTCTAGGCCCCGCGACGCTTCATCAACGACACCGTCAGATCTGACTTTCACAAGAGGTGGGTCGTCGGTGGCTGCAAAGATACCACTGCTGATCCGTGTGCGACTGGCGTTCCTTCAATTCCTGTGCTGACACGCCATTCTTGCATGTCCTTGTAGGTTTCTTGATCGCTACGTGAAGTGAAGCAAGCATCACCGTCGTATGCCCAAGCTGCCGTTGCGGAGGGCCATCACCATTGCAGCGGAGGGGCAGCTGACCCAATGCTAGTGCTGAGCCACATGCACTCACGTGGGCGCTTACACGCTCGTGCTGTAACCTGCGTTCTGTCTCATGAAGTTGAGGTGTGGAGGCAGCAGAATATTCATCCACACTTCTTGCATTGGAGCAGCTGCACATGCTGGGCGTATTTGCCACAGCATTGTCAGTTTGAGTGAGGCGACATCTCCTTCAAAATGCTACTCCAGGGACAATGAGATAGCAAGAAGAAGGCAAAAACGTTGAAGAAACGAATACATATACAATTGATGCATCATACGACCCTATGTACCATCATTGGCGAGCCCGCGGACGTGCGCATCTCCTGGCGGGCGCCATAGGGGGCCTCTTGGCCCGCACATACAAGGAAAAATGCATTCAAAGACATCATTGAGATGCTTGCTCACGGCCCTCGTCTGCGTAGGTCCGCAATCGCTCGTCACGTACGGTTTTCAGTAGCCGTCCGCAGCCGCGATGAAACCATCGGGCCGGGAACGCTTGGGGTATTGAAGTTTGTCGAACTGATTCAAAGAAGTTTTTGAGGTCCCATGTCAAGGTGCAGCGGCCAGCGCCATGGTTGTTGGCATAGTGTGATGCACGCTGCTGATGCCGCACACCGTTGCAACCTCGGCCCTGGATGTGCAGGCGTGCCGGCGTGGGCGTCCCGCACGCTTCAACCGTATGATCGCAGCACGATCTGCAGCGGCGGCCTGCTGATCAACGGCTTTTTCGACAAGGGCCACCTTGACAAGCTGCAGAACGCGTTTGTGATGTCTCTGCTCTCCAGGTCGGCCTGCGCACACACACATGAGGATGTGTTCCATGGACTGCTTTCTGGGTGCCTTGATCCATACTAATTGTGATCAGCAGGATCTAATTCGCCCCCCTGCACAAGTTTCGTTCCCCTTTTGACGGCCCACTGACCCTCTCTCCACGGTGCCCACGCTCCCCCCCCCCACCGCCCCCCCAGCGACACCTACCCGGCCACCATCCTGCCCGGCCAGACAAACGCCAAGTACAACACCCTCCGATACGAGTCCGCCGTCCGCACGCGCTGGGAGGCCCTCGGCGCGCGCGGCGTCGCTTTTGTGGACGACCACGAGGACCACCTCGAGGCCCACGCAGTGGTGGTCGCGACCCCGACAGACGTCTTCATCGCGTTCAGGGGCACGTCCACGACGGAGGGGTGGAGCTCCAACGTGAAGGTCCGGCCCGCGAAAATCACGGCCGGGCGCGACGGCCGCGGGCCGGTGCTGCAGGTTCACGGTGGCTTCATGAGGTCCTTCGCGGCGATCTACGCTGACGTGGCGCTGGCCGTCGCCAGGGCGTTGGACGAGGTCGTGGACGCGCCGTCCGAGGCGCGCGTGTTCATATCTGGCCACTCCATGGGCGGCGCGCATGCGATGCTGGCGGCGTTGGCGCTTGCAGACAATGGCGCACGCATCGGCGGTGTGTGGACGTTTTCTGCGCCCAAGACTGGAAACGACGCGTTCGTGCAGGAGGTACGTGTGTCAAAGCAGCATTCCAGCTGGGCGGCAAGGGGCAAGGCGTGTATTCTCTGAATTCTGCTTGCCCTTACTGAATGCACCATGATAAGCATCTGAATTGCTCACCACAGCACCGCTTCATGAAAGGAACATCCAGCAGTCCGTCAACGTACTGTGCACTACTGCGCACTGGAAAAGCCCACAACCTCAGCCCACGTGAATGGCGTGCTTGCTGCACATCCCCCGCAGTACATGCGCCGGTTTGGGAGCGTGACCTTCCGTTGGATCAACGGCCTGGACATAGTGCCCACCCTGCCGCCAGACATCCCGCGTGTTGAGTCGTACCGGCAGCTGCCTGCCAACACCACTCTGTGGCGGACCATCGGCGGCCAGTGTGTCAAGGCGACTGGGGAGCTGCTGCTCGGCTGCCCGCCAGGCTATGGCCGATCCAAGGAGAAAGAAACGCCAAAGGGGCGGAAGGGCAGCAAGCAGCCACTCAAGGAGCAGGAGCAGGAGCGGCTGCAAAGGGAACGCCTCAGACAGCAGCAGGAAGTCGAGGAAAGGCAAAAGAGGGAGCAGGCGGAGCAGCAGCAGCAGCAGCAGCAGCAGCAGCAGCAGCAGCAGCAGCAGCAGCAGCAGCAGCAGCAGCAGCAGCAGCAGCAGCAGCAGCAGGAGGGCCAAAACCCTGGCGGGCAGGCGGCATCCAGCGCCGCCAAGTACAAGAAAGCCAAGCCTAAGAAGCAAACGTGGAAGCCGCGGGAGGAGCGCTGCACCTACACCATTGCAGACCACCGGCTGTACAAGGCGCTTGCAGCGCTGGGCGGCTGCGTGTCCAAGCAGGCGGAGGCTGCGAATAACGCGTGCTCCGTTGCAGTGGTTAGGGCAATCTTGCCAAAGAGCAAGGCATAGTTGCGCATGTATCAAACGCTCTCAGGAAACATCTGCTTGGTGATCTGTGCAGGGCTGCACTGTTTGCTAGGCCTCGTTCTTGCAGGGCTTCATGCTTGCATTCGAAAGCTGATACCTCCAAAAATGCATTTTGCCCATAGATCAACGCACATGCGGCACATCGCTTTAATCAGGTGCCACAACGAAGGGGCGCACCTGTCGCGCCCTGCACATTGCCATGAGACTGTTTGCGTGCTGGTCCAGCGTAGGCATGCGCAATCCAGGTGCATGCGCATCTGAAAGGCCACTTCACGAGCAGGACGGAGATCCTGCCTGGCCCATGTTGATTGATCAGATGTGCACATTCCAGCTGATTGATATTGCGTTGTCCTGCGACCTTGCAGTGTGGCGCCTAGGGACATGCACCTGCACCAACAGCCTGCCTTCCATTTACTTGGTACACAAACATGAAGCTCATGTGGCTTGAATGTGGCGCGCCGCGCACGTGCCGACCTGGATATCTTGGGTTCCATTCCGGCATCTGCCACCTACATTACCTCCCTGTTCCCCCTGAATCCTGAGGTAAACTGTATCGAGATTACTGTACAGCACGCAACTCAGCTGACATTGATAAAGCTCAGGGGGACGGTCAGGCTGCCTGGCAGGAGTCAAACTAAGTGAAACTGAGACAGTGTAGTCGAGCTGCTGTCGTCATGCTCTGCGTGCTGTGCTGCTTGCTGTTTCGTACTGCTCTGTTTGCTGCTTTAGACGAGTGCGGTTCTAAAACAGTACCCAAACCTCGAGTCAACGTGCAACATACGGTGACGAATCAAATCACCTTTCCCACAACTCGGCATCGACCGATCTGCTGAGATCGCAATAGCATGCATTTAGCTGACCTGGGCCTCGCTAAATGGCAGCATCAGCATCATCCAAAACCACACAGTGTGCTCACAGATGCGCCCCGCCTCTTGGCGTGCATCCACAAACCTTCGGCTGCGGCGGCGTGCGACGTGCATGTTGTGGAGGATCCTGCTACGGGCCACGCAACGGGCTGGATTTTGGCAGAGGACAGTCATGCAGGACCTCGATTTGGCTTGGTGGCTGTGGCGGAGCCCGAGGAGGCGGTGAGCTGCGCAGAAAGCGCTGCTCGGGGCGATGCCCCTTCTGCCGTCTTGGTGGCTCCGCCATGTCGTTGTCGCCTGGCACGCCCCCCCACACGGCCCCGCGGAGCGGCCTCATGAGCCTGGAGAGTTGGGTTGGCCACCACCCCTGCGCCACGTGCGCATGCATCGCAGGGCCGCAGGGCAAGTTGGCGGGCGCTCGAGGCCGTGTGTTCGTTGGAACTTGATGCGTTAAGATTCTTCAGCCTGCCAAAGGTCAGCGAATGGACAACAAAAGCAAATTGCAAACAGATTAAACAGCATCAGCACTCCTGTGTCATGTTGGCCCGCAGCAAGCGCACGTGCACCTCTACTGGTGGTGCAAACCTTTAAACGCTCAAACGTACAGGTCACAGATGAGGTGGCCACAGCCCTCCTGCCAGCCCGTGGCTACTCGCGGATGTACCACAACCCATGCACCCAGTTCGTGCTGCGACGACCGCTAGGGGCAGCCGTGCTGGAGCGCTGGCGCGAGGACGCCGGCCGGCTGCGGGCGCGGGGGTTTGCTCTGTCGCGGCTGAGGCACGCGGACGCAGAGCTGGTGGACTCCCTGTGGTGAGCAGCCGGCGGCGCCAGCCATGTTTCCACTGCATCACGGCATCCTTCATGCCCAGCACCCAGGCTGCCCGTCGCAGCCAGCGCAGCTGGTGGGAAGCAAGGCAGCCGGGTCTCCGCTGCGGTGCCATGTCCGCAGTCCGTCTGGCCCTGAACTCGCGTGGCTTGGCCGTCCAGCAAGCACCGTGGGCGCCACCAGGCCCAGGCGCTCAGCGACCTTGCAAATATGTACTCACGCGATGGCACACTCGGCGGGTGCTCAGGCCGTACCGCAGCCCCTCCAGCTTGGCGTTCATCCAGAACGCGGTCATCGCCGGCGGCCTCTGCACCAGCTGCGTGCGAGAGGGCGGGGAGGAGGACGGGCGGCCGGTGGCTTGGGTGGTCGAGTATCCAGATGGCAGGTGGGCGTTAGGGCAGTGAGTGTTTGTGATGGGCCGCAGAGGTTCTGCACAGGGTACTCTTGGGGATTGGCCCACCAAGCCCCCTGCTTGGCTATTTCTTTCTGCCTTGGTAAACGGGGCGGTCGAACCACCCGCGCTTTTGCAAGTCGCTCTTCGCTAGGCCCTGCCACCCCCTCCGCTTCCCACCCAAACCCCACGACCTCACCCACAACCACGGCCCCCCCTCGGATGGCGCAGCTTCGGCATGCTGACCACCCTCGAGCCCCACCGGCGGCAGGGGCTGGCCCGGCTGGCGCTCGTGGCCCTGGTGCAGCAGCTGGTGGAGGGGGGCCGCCTGGCGCGGCACCCGCTCTTCTGCTATGTGGTCGAGGACAACGCCCCCTCGCTGTCTCTGCTGCGCTCCCTGGGCTTCGAGGAGGCCGGCGTGTTCACGTGGCAGGCGTGGCGGCGGGGCGGGGG